AAGCAACAGACAGGGGCTGCTTCCCAGGCTTTTCTACCGGCGCTCTTGGCAACGTTGGCAGCGCGTGGCTGATCAACGTGGCTTGCACACAGCACTTGTTGCACATGTACGCAATCGATGCACATCGCTGCGTGGTTGTGTAGCGTTGCAAAAGATTCTTGCATCAATGGGAGAAGGAGATGTGCACGACACGCTCTCTTTTCCTTCGACATTCGTGCTCCACGTCAACCTCGTACGAGAGCTCACTACTCAGTAGTTCCTGACGATCAGATCAACTTGAGCATAGTCTCATCCCTAAACGATCCGGGAGAAGGGAGAGACAAAGCGAGAGTGCTGTCACCGGTTGCATAACCGAGTAACACCACGTTCACGGCACGGTGGCACGACAAAGCCCCGCCGACGATGGGAGTAAAATCACCAAGACTTCTGATCCATGCTCTTGACGAGGAGGCTCGTCCTCGTCCTTGAAAATGTACATCATGCTATGTTCGCTGTGCACAGGCAATGCTTCTCGGCCCTGCGCCTTCGCCGTGCTAAAATGCATCTGTCCGAGCCGAACACCTCGCTAGAATAACGTCCCTTGCTCGTTACATGACTTCTGCGATGCTCTGCTTCGCAATCACCGTGTTCTGGTCATTGTTGCGGTGCACACGGTAGTAGTGACCGACGAGGTCGTCACATCGCATTTCACGAAGGAAGTCTTCATCGTGAGTGATGATGATCAGCTGGAAGTTCGCTTGCTTCTTCCGCTCCTTGATGATCGCAGACAAGCTCAGCGCCAAAGCACGGATATTGTCGACATCGAGGTTGGTGGTCGGCTCGTCAAGCGCAATCACACCGCATCGAATTCCAAAGCACTCTGCAAGAGCCATGCGGATGATGATGGACGCCAGCACCTTTTGGCCAGCCGAGCAACGACCGCGCATGTCCATCTCCGTGTCTTGCTTCACCATCACCACGCGGTAGTTGTAGTTCTTTGTCGACTTGACTGTCTCGTTCTCGCTGCGGATCATGATGGTATCGACATCGGTACCCATGTACGTCTTTCGCCACAGCTCGTCGATGATGCCGTTGATTTGCTCCATCTTCAGCGTGTGATACTGCATGATAGCCTTGTCGAGAGCAGCGCCATAAGCACCAAGATCTTGAATGGCCGCCTTGGTTGTCGTGACCATGATATGAGCGGCCTTGTACTGCCTGCCGGCAGTCTTGTAGTCGCGACCAAATTCTGCTATGGAGACTTGCAGCTGAGAATCAACCCCCTTGAGCTCACCAACAACTTGCGCCTGCTGAGCAGCTGCCTCGTCGCGCTTTCTCTGCCAACGCTCAGCCTCACGCTGATACGTTTGAGCGTCTGCCTCGCAATTACGTTTCTCAAGCTCTTCGATCTCATCCGAAAGCTGCTGGAGCTGTCGTCGATCACGACGATAGCGCTGGTTGTCAGTGATGTTGCGCTTCGACTCGGCATAGCTTTGCGACTGGTCTGTCAGCTTCTTAATGTTTCGAGCAATTTGCGACTGCTCAGCGACCGCTCGATCAACGTCGGCATCAGCGACTTCTTTCTCGCGCTTAGCGTTGAGAAGCTGCTGATCACCACCTCGCTCATGATATCCCTGAATATCAGCTTCCACAGTGGAGAGCTTGTTGAGACTGTTATTCAGCTTGTTGAATCTGTTCTGCTGCTCTCGGTCCTTGTCCGCACCACGTTTGGAAATGTCGTCGTATTTGGCCTGCTCTGTGGCTGTCTGCGAGGCGATCTCGTTAAGCTTCGCGTCGAACTCCTGAATCTTCTCGCGTTCTTGTGACTTGAGAGCCTTGTATTCCTGCTCTTGATTCTCAAGATCCTTGCGCTGCTTCAGGTCATAAAGAGCCTGTTGGAGCTTTCCCTCCAGTCTGCTCGCTTCGAGCTCCAAATCACTCACGGCTTTGGTCTTGCGATCGCGAATGCTGGCCGCCTCATCGCGGGAAGCTTGCTGAGCTTTGCTCTCGGCATCAATCTTCTTGATGTCTGCTTGGACAGCCTCAAACCCTCGAGACAGACCTTGGGATTTCTGCTTCGCAGCCTGCTCCTCGACTTGTTTCTGCAGTGCATCAGCCTCGTTGCTTAGCGTGACAATGGTGTTGACTGTTTTCGAGAGCGATTCAACATCTTGCTTGCGGCTGGCGGCTTCCTGAAAGAATGACGAATGGGACTCGCAGTCGTTGTTGGCCTGCTTCCACTTCCGCTCAATATTCTCGATATCTTTGACGACAGCTGGCACTTCCTTCTGCGTCAGGCGTTCCCACGTGTCGAATTGGGCATTGACCTTTCGAGCTTGTTCGAGAGCCGCTTCAGCTTCTGTAATCTTTTGCTCATCGATTTGTTGCGTCATGTTGTCCTGCTCAAGTTTCACACGATCGAGCATTGCTTGCAGCTCGGCTTGGCTGGCGAACGGCCGCGTGCACATTCTGCAGCACGGCTTTTGCGGCTTTTTAGCCATCTTGATGGCCGCTTCAAAATACGATTGGATCATATTGAACGAGTCGCCCTCTTGCTTGAGCTCATCGCGAGTCTGCTCTCGCTCCGCCAATTCAGACGGAAAGTCTTTAGGCGCACGACCAATGGCATCATAAATGTCATTCTCAGCGTCCTTTGCTTCGTCCTTCTTTGCTCCAAGGCTGGATTTGAGCTCGTCAAGCTTCGAGCTCAGGTTGTCGGCTTGTGTCTGTGAACCATCTCGTTGCTTCTGTGCATCGGCAACTTCGGCGTCTAGATTCTTCAGAGCACGCTCATATGAGGCCTCGAGCGTCTGTGGCTTCCAACCATCGCCGACAATCTCTCTTACCCTATCACCGTGAGCAGAAATCATAGTGCCGAGGCGGCGATGACGATCATCAAGCTGCTCTCGCAAATAGTCGATCTGCGCTGATTCCTTGGCACGGCGAGCAGCTTCTTCTCGCTCGGAATCGAGCTTCTCTCGAGTATCAGCCAGTCTGCGAAGTTCGACGTCCGCGCTCTCGATCTGCTTGTTCCAGGGAGCACTGTCCAATTCTGATTTGGCCGTAGCAAGCTTGCTCTGAGTGTCGAACAATTGGCTCTCGAACGTGACTTTGTCGCTTTCATTAGAATTGAGACTTTGGGCGCGCCGCTGCATCTCCCCAATCTTCTCGTCGTACTTGCTGATCTGAAATCCACTGCTCTCCTTCTGCTGTCTGAAGCGGACCGCATCTGAGTTAAGATCGTTAAGCACTTTTTGCTGTCTCGATACGTCCTCTTGCACTTGTGTGCGTACACGCTCAAATTCAGCTTGGGCATCACGAGTCGTGCGCGTGATCTTCTGCATGAAGTCTTTGGCGAGCCTCTCGTCAATGTCGCGATCATAGCCGCGGATTTCGTGGGTGCGAGCAGATTCCTGAATCAGACGATTGCGGTATTCCACTTGACGCTCATGGCTAGCCTTCTGCTCCTCAAACCGACCAATGGCGCTGACCTTGGCGCTCTGTACGTTGCGCGAAGAGGTCACCTCGGCTTCTTTCTTGTGGTATAGCTTCTTCTGCTCTTCGAGGTTGGCATCGAAAGACCGAAGATGCTCATCGTATTCGTCGAGCATGCGCTGAAGGTCGTTGTCGGATTCGGACATTTCGTTGAGGTTCTCGCGAAGACCTTGCACGTTCTCCTCCTTTGCTGCTCTCGCGGAACGCTTGTTTTTGAGCTCACCAACGACGACATTGACCTGAGCAAATTTGTTGGCAGCATCTTTATATCCTTCCTCGGCGTGCAGGCGCTGCGCTCTGAATGTTGACTCTTGATCACGCAGAGTCTCACACTGCTTATCCATCAGGTCAATCTTAGCTTTGAGATTCTTCTTCTTGTCGTTGTTCTGTTTGCAGTGGACTTCGTTAAGCTCGAGGTTCTTCAGTTCGATCTTCTTGTTCTTCTGCATGACTTTAATGTTGTCAATGGCCTTGGTGTACTTGTTGGCTTCGAAGATTTCGTCGAACTTCTTCTTGAGGTCTGTGGGTGCCATCATCGGCCAGAGCGACTCTTCTTGGTGGCAAAAGATGACATTCTCGAGCACCGCTTTGGACACACCAAGATAGCGAGGCATCATGCCATTAATGTCGGCAACAGTGGAGCTGACGGTACTGCGCTCACCGTCCCTTGCCATTTTGATGGTGCCTTCTAGAGACTTGAAAGTGCGCTTGCCTTGCTTTACGGTGAGAGACATGTTGCGAGTGGTGACCATCCTCATGCCTTCAGTCGACGTATACTGGAGCTTGACCTGGGCGAGGACTTCCTTCTCGCCGGCCATCTTCGGATCGTGCACGAATGAACGACCTTGCTCACTGTTCGGCGGCATCTCACCTGTGGTGACATACTTCAAGCACTCGATGATGGTCGTCTTGCCAGAACCGTTCATGCCGACAATCAGGGTGAGCGGAGATTCGAACCTGATGGCCATTTGGGCCTTGTGGTCGAATGACCGCACGCCCGTAATCGACAACTTCTCAATCTTCGACATGTCTGCTGAGTACTGCGCGGAAAGGAGATGGGGAATGCAAGAGGTTCGGCTGAAGCGCCAACTGGTGGCGATGGTGTTGACAAGGAGTGTATTTGGAGAGTGTCTGCTTCACGGCGGGAACAGGGGATGGGGCATCTTTCGCCTGCAGAAGAGGAGATGATTCTGGATCAGGCGTGTAGTGAAAGCGAGACAAGGTGTTGAAGTGCGGTTGGGTGCAGGCAGCAAACGCGGTTATGGCGCGTCAGGCACGTGTTCCTGCCATCACTTTGCGCGGAAAGAACCACTGGGATATTCAAGGTCAAAACTGCTGGACATGGTTCTTCACTACTTCCCGTCCAATGTCCAGTGCTGGATGAAGGTGCATATCATATGGTACCTGCATGCGATTGAGCATTCCTGCACCACTGCAGCTTTTCAGCACCGCCATAATAGTTCCAGCATCTCCAGAACAGCCTGATATAGCATGGCCGCTTCTGATCTTCCCTCGGCGCCACTGCCGTCGAGCGAGAGACTGGCTACTGGTATCCGCCAGCAAGACAGAATGTCGAGTCGTTTGGCATACATGTATCTCAGGGTGTGTCTACTTGCTAGTCGGTAGATCGGTAGACCGGTGCGTTCTTATATAATCCTTCTACCGGCTTATCTATCGACCTAATCTACCGCTTCATCTACTTCTATTTCCGGTAGTTATCGTCGGTAGATTATAATTAATTACTATAGCTTCGTCCGAGCGCGGTATACTATTATTAGAAAGTCTAGCCGTCTACCGAAAACGCGGTTTAAAAGTAGGTTATTAGTAGATACGATATACGCGTATAGTCTCTTTTATACTATTTTCTCTATACTATCGCTTTCTAAGCTCCTTCTTATAATACTAAATATATAAGAAGGGTTATATTAGTAGGTAGATAGGGTAGTAGTAGGTATAGGTAGTATTCGATAGAGATCTAAGAGGAGAGGGAGGAAGGCAGGCTAGTTAGCCTAACGCTAAGCGCTAAGCCCTGCCTAAGGCACTAAGACCCTAGCTTCACTCGGCCTAATTATATACTAATTACGTATAGCCTCTTTAGCTCTAATATACGCTTCCCTTCTAAAGGCCGCGCCCTTGTAGCCTATCTATATTCTAACCTCGACCTCTATTACTACTAACTTAGCAAGTCTAATAAGCCGCTTAGCTACGCTAAATTAAACACTTAACTACCTAATTATATAACTATATTAAACCTTACCTTCTAATACAATATCTAACTCCGACTACGCTATCTCTATATATAATAAACTATAAAGTAATATATATCTACAAGAATTAAGGGCCTTCGACTAATTATAATACGAGCGCGTCTTCCCTACTATAATAGGTAGACGTACGAGGTATTATAGCACTGCCTTCGTTCTAAGTAATGTCGTATCGAGTTCTTTACGTCTACTCTTAAAAGACCTAGTAATGTCCGCTTCCGAGGGTTGTTCTTATTGTTACGAGGGCTATTATTTACTATCGTAGTTTTACTAGCCCTAATTAGTTAGGTTTAGTAGCCTTTAAGTGTTAACTAATTATATCTTTTCAAAAAACTCAGTTCTTCTAGTTTCTATAGATAAAGGCTATTATAAGTATAGTAGTAGAGGTTCGCCTCGCTTAAAGGGTTAGATAGATCGAGGAGTAACCTATTGTCCGCAAGATCGACCCTAGCTAGCTTAGCTCTATAGTTTTGCCCTTAGTTAGTTAGTCTATTAAGCTACTCAATCCTTTTAAGCCTTAATATTTTAACTTAGCCTTAAAGTTTTAATTAAAGTTTTGATTAAAGGTGCCTTAGGCTCGTAGTATAGGTAAGGTTATGTCTATAGGCGTAGCGACAATAGCAAGTAATATTCATAATAGCGGCGCTAGTCGTCTTAGCGCTAACTTTACCTTCTTCTAATTTCCTTCTTTAACTAATAACAACTCGGTAATACTATTACTAATATAGCTATATCCTTCCTTTCTTAAATAGTAATATACTCCGTAATACTATTACTAATATAGCCGCGCCGGCCGCGCCGTCGTTATTATTATTATTACTATTTACGCGCGCGCCGTCTTCGTAGATCGCTTAGGCCTTAAGGTCCTAATAGAAGGAAGGAATAAGAGGGGGCGCTAAGAGAAGGGTCTTATAGGTTGCGCTAGTAAAGGGGTAGATCCCTCGAAAGAGTAGGCGATTAGTTAATAGGATTAGTTAACAGTTATAGCGCGTTTGTTAATACTCGGTGCACGTCTACTATAGTAGTATAGTCTTATTGTCCTAGTTTGTCGGCCTCTAATTAGTTAGCTAATAGCACCCCGGGGGTAGTATTATTCCTAGGCGACATTATAGGCCCTTAGCCTTCTTCTTGTTCTTTATACTAGTCTAATACTTATCTAACAACTTAGTTATGTCTTTAAAAGAGGCTTTATCTTCCTACGAGTCCTATTTAGGTAAATAGCCTTGCTATCTTAGGAGGTACTCCTTTTTGCCTTGCCTAGTCCGGTGCTTTAGAATACGTTCTATAGACTATAGCTCTTTACCGTTAGCTAGTATCTCTTTATGTTTAGTAGGGGCTTCTTTATTAGAGTCTCCGCGGTAGTAGTATAGTTTAAGGAGGGAGATATAGAAGGTATTATAGATAGTATAGTATAGTGGGAGCTATAACTAATAGGCCTATGCGGAAGAGCCCTTAACTTCCCGAATACGGAATGGGCTAATATACCTTAGTGCTAGTTTAGGGCGTGTTTTGCTATTAGGTAATAGGTGTTTACGGATACGGAGGTTCTTTATACTAAGTATAACTATATTACCTTACTTAAAGGTTATTAGCGTATAGTATTTATCGTAGTAGGCCTTCTAATAGGCCTAGGCCTTTGCTAGTTTGTTAGCTATCTTAGCGTAAATCTCTTGCATCTTCTAAACCCTCTTAATAGCCGCTAGTGTTTTAGGGGTTAGTACTTAATACGCTTCCCTTTCCTTACGCTCGGTCTCGAGCGGTAGGGGGTCTTATAGTATAGCAGCGTTCTAGCCTATTATAGCGAAATAGGGTAATACCTTAGTAGATAAGTAGATACTATTATTATATACAAATTCGGCTAGTTATAGGAGGTTAACCTAGTCGTTAGGGTTCTTATTAATGTAGCTACGCAGGTACTGCTATAGCGTAGCATTTTGCCTCTCGGTCTAGCTATCTGTTTGTAGATAGAACGCTATAGATAGGCGATGCTTGAGTCTTAGCTATAGGCAAATCTCACTCTAATAGTAAGATATAAATATCGAGCCCCGATCGGAGACTATCCCTTTAGGGGTCCCCTAATAGCTATAGAAGATGTTGTTCTATAGCGACTTAGCTAGGTTAATAGCCGTCTAATCCTTTCGGGTAGGAATGTAACAAGCGCCCTTAGTAAACTAGTCTACGATAACTAGGATAGTATTATATATATCCTTACTGCCCTTACGCTTAGTAGGCGGAAGGCCTATAATGAAATCTATTATAAGCTTAGCAAATAGCTTCTTTAGAACAGGGAGTAAAGACAACTCGCTAAATAGTAAGTGTTTCGGTGCTTTAACTCGTTAATACACGGCATACGTGCTTACGTAGTCCTTTATGTCCCGCTTACTATTTAGCTAGTAGTATATACGCGATAGTAGCTCGTACGACCTCTCTATACTATAGTAACCGGCAAGCTTACTATTATAGTATCGCTTAAGAAGCTCTTGTTATATCGAATGCTCGGTAGGGACATACAATCTGCCCTTATAGCGCAAATAGCTATCGGCATTAATCGACTAATTCTTGCTAGATCTAGTCTTGCGGCTACTTCTAAGCTAATCTATACGAGCAGTAGCAAAAGCGTCCCTTTGCTAAGCGCGTAACAGTTCGTTTATAAAGGCTTAACTATCTCCTTGCGCAAGTTCGCTTAATAGCACCCTTGCTATCGTACGTAGCACGTACTATATATATCTAGTAGCACTAGTAGCTAGATTAACTATAGCAGTACTTTAATCGCTATTACTATATATAGCGATATCGACTAGGGAGTTATCGTAACCCTTCCTATTAGTATTATAAAGCTTAATATGCACTGTTAATATAGCAAGAGTATTAATATGCTTCAAGCCGTCGCGGAGTCCGGTAAGCCGCTTATTCTACGCTTGCCTTACTACGAGGTCTATAGCAATCTTATACTATAGGGTTAGAAACAATAAATTAATAGATTAGGTTTCGCTATCGTAATTAGGTCGCCTCGATAGGCTATCGGCAGGGTTACTTACGCCTAGCTAGTATAATATATTAAAATCGAACCTAGCGAGGTAGACGGCCTATCTAGCCTGTCGATCTATAACCCTAGTAACCTTCGTAATTCTACGGAGGTTGTTATAGTCCGTATAGACCTAAATAGGGTGCTAAGCACTATCGAGATAATAGCGCTAGTACTTAAAGGCTTCTACGATTGCTAAGAGCTCTTGCTCGTAGGTCTCGTAACGACGCTTAGTATTAATTATCTTCCTTAAGAAGAAGGCAATCGGGTGCTAGTAATTGTTATTAGCCTGTTATAATATAATAGCTAATACAGCAAACTATAAAGCGTTAGTCTTAATACGGATCTGTTTACTTAGTACAAAATAGTGCAATAAGGGGACCTTAGTAAAGCGCTACTTTAAACCGTTAAAAGCGGCTTACGCTCTATTAGTCTATTTAAACTCTCTAGTCGGGTTGGCCTTGGTTTTAGTAAGCTTAGTTAATAGCATTACATGCCTCGAATAGCCCTTAATAAACCGGCGGTAGAAGTTAGTAAAACCGAGGAATAATTAAAGCTCTTTAATAGACGTAGGAATAGGCTATTTAGTAATTGTTTTAATCCGGTTAGGATTAGCCTTAACACCCTCGGTTAAAATAAGGAAGCTAAGGAATAACACCTCTTTAGAAGCAAAGGTGCATTTAGAAGGTTTATAATATAGTCTATAGGCTCGTAGGCGGTCGAGGACCTTGCGTACGGCGGCCTAATATTCCGCAATGTTAGGTAAGTGTGTATAGACTAGGATATCGTCTAGATAGACTACGTAGAGGTAGTCTAATAGGCCTAACAAGGCCCGATTAATATAGGACTAGAAGGTCGTAGGGGCATTAGCTAGCCTAAATGGCATAACTAAATACTTAAAGTAGCTATAACGAGTGCGGAAGGCCGTCTTCTATTCGTCGCCCTTACGAATACAAATACGATAGTACGCATCCTTAATGTCTAGTATAGTATAGAAGTAGGCCCTAGAAAGGCGATCGAGGGTCTTATTAATAAGAGGGAGTAGACAGCGGTCTTTAATAGTAACAGCATTAAGCCCTCTATAATTAATATATAAACGCAGGCCGCTATCCTTCTTTAGCACGAACAGGATAGGTGCACTAGCAGGGCTATTACTATACCGAATTCGACTATTAGCTAGGTTTTCCTCTAGGTACTTACGCAACATAGCAAGCTCTTATTTACTAAGGTTGTAGAGGGGGCTAAAAGGAACCTCCTTACCCTCTATAATATTAATCTTATAATCCGTCTCTTTGAATATAGGCAATGTCGATGCTAAGTAGTGTTTAAATATATTAATATAGGTCTCTCGAATAGGTTCTAGTATCCGCTTAAGTTGTTTAGGATCTATGCTATTAGGGGGTACTAGTTTATCGTTATTACTACCGAGCAGGTCGGCCGTCGGATTAGCTAGGGTTAGGTTGCTAATAAATAGGACCCTAATATTATTAGGGCACTCGCTAATATTAATGTGTTTAATATCCTCCTTCCTAGCGATTCTAAATCGCTATTATTAACTGCCTAAGTCTATAACTATAGTATAGTACTTAAGAACAGGGTTACTAATAATAATAGTAGCTCCCCTATGCAGGTTGTCTATATCTACTGCGTAGGTAGTAAAGTCTAGTAGGCGTTTATTTCCGAGGTCGTCCTTTAGAACTATAGGAATATAGTAGGCCCCGTAGGTTAAGTACCGAGCGTTATTAAACTAAGCAAGGGTTGGCATATTAGTTCTAGGCAATTGTCGGAGGTCTAATTGCTTAGCTAGGCGATAGCTAATAAGGGCACTAACTAAATTTCCTAGATCTAGTATAACCTTAGTCTTATAATTGTCTTTATATGTGTCCTATATAAGACAGGTGCGTATAATAGCTAGCACAATATCGATAGTTTTACGCCGTACGAGGCTAACAGTTAGTGCGGCGCTTACTCTTTTTTCGAAGAACCGATAGGGGTAGCATTAGCGGCTAAAAGGTGCTTATAGTGCTTAGCGGTAGCACGGTCGATTCGGGCCTAGTCCTTAGGTTTGTCGCATTAGCCTAGTAGATAGCTAGTACTATTACAATTAAAGTACTTTAATCCGGTTAGGGGATTGCTATAGCTACTGTTGCTACTATTGTTAGTTAAGCGATTAGCATTATAGGGATACGAGCCCCTTCTACGGCCCCTATTACGGCCTCCTCTATATAGCCGTCGGCTACGGCCTCTTCTACGGTCGTTGTTACTGTTCCTATTGTTAGCATTATTGTTCTAGTAGGAGCCTTGGTTTCTATTATAGCTACGGTTGCTAGCGGCTAGTCGTATCTTAGATTCTAACCGTTGCTAAAGCTAGACTATACGCTCTACGGTTTCGACTTCTACTATAAATTAAATGCGTATAAGATTAGCCTGTTTAAACACACGGCGGCGGTCCAATTTAAGGACTAGTTCCTATCTCAGTTTAGGCCGTATCTTAGATATCTAGATAGAGTCGGTTTTAGGTAGCAAATCGTCCTTAAGGGTCTTTAGATAGGCCTCGAAGGATCGAGAGGTTTAGTCGGCCTTTTGTTTAGCACGTAGGTATTAGTCTTAGGCGTATTGTTGCCTTAGTATAGGGTTTCTAAGGGTGTCTAGCATAATAGTCTTATAGGTTTTCTACTGAATAGCGGTCTAATCGTTAAGGGAGTTAAAATAGTTATCCTACGTGCGCTTTAGGTCGCTATTAATGTACTGTATAGCATAGACAACGAAGGAATAGTTATCTAGCAGCGCTCTCGGTACGTTACGCTAGTTAAGCTTACAGTTACGAATATAGTTATTATATTGCTTCCGACTAGAGCTATTAAATACGGTGCAATCCTTAAGTTTAGCATCCTTCTTTTAGACTAAAACAGAGGGTAAGGAAGGCCCTACTATTAGCTTAGTATTAGTTGCTAGGGATCGCTATAGGCAGCGAATTTCGAGGAGGTTCTCGGATCTCCTTTAGCTATTATTCTTAGCGTAGAGCAGCGAGCCTATTCTAGGTAGCTTCTTAGAGTCTCGCTACTAGCTAGGGGCTAAAGGCTAGTTAGCTATATCGTCGATTAATAATGTTGTTAAGAATGTCGTTAATAGGCAATTCTAGATTATCGCCTAGAACTACAGGTTCTTCGAAAGGCTTAGTAGTAGGCTCTTCGGTAGGAGGCACTTTAGTAGGTGCTTTAGTAGGCACTATGCTACTAGTATTATTATTGCTAGCACTACTAGGAGCAATGCCGGCGTTGTTATTGCTAGCGCTACTAGCGGCGCCGCGGTTGTTATTTCGTAATAAACCGGCTATTATAATAAGGGGTAGCACTAATAATATATTATTAGCCCCTAAGATGCGGATGTAGCGGAATTAGTAGATATCGGTCTAGTATGCTTAACTTAGTATAATAGGCCGTATAGAAGGCCTTGCTTAATAATTAGTACGGTTATTTCGATAGAATAGTACGTATAGGTCCCGTTCTTCGGGCGCAATATAGTTAGATTAGTCTTGTTCGTAGCTATACCGCTAAAAGCTTGAAATAAGAACTATCTAGCTGCTGCCCTTAAAGGGTGGATCGAATACTGTATAAGAAGGGTTATGTTAGCAGGTAGATAGGGTAGTAGTAGGTATAGGTAGTATTCGATAGAGATCTAAGAGAAGAGGGAGGAAGGCAGGCTAGTTAGCCTAACGCTAAGCGCTAAGCCCTACCTAAGGCACTAAGACCCTAGCTTCACTCGGCCTAATTACATGCCAATCACGTTTAGCCTCTTTGGCTCTAACAAAATAATAGATCCGAAGCTCTAGATTAGCTTAATATTATATATAGTAATAGCGAGCTAGTATACGGCCCTCGCGCCTTTACTAAAGTAGAAATAGCGTAAGAGATAGTATCGACCGTCGGTTATTGTAAGGGCGTTAACTTAGCTAAAAATATACGTAATATAAGGTATTTTAGGTACTATATAGACCGAAGTAAGAGTATTATAAGGTAACTAGTTTATAGCTACTAGTATTAAAGAGTTTAATCTAAGAGATAGAAGAAAGAGGGCTTCTATAGTATAGGGTTTAGCGTAACGATATAATAGTCGCTAAGAAAGTAACAATCTATCTAGACTTTATTAGGTATAATCTAACTATTCGAGAGCCAAGGCGGTACTATTAATACGCTAATTTAACCTTCGAGTGGATTATTAAAGATGTTAATATTACGCTATATTATATAGCGGATATATATATAATAACCGGACGACTAGTTGCCTTATAACTTTATAAGAGGCTAGTAACTAGATAAGATACTAGTAAATTACTAAATTACTAAATTTAGATACTTTGTCGCTTTAAGAACGCTATTAGAGCTATAGATACTTGCCTCGTACCTATTAGTTTACTATAGTTAATTTAAGGTCTATACTATTACAGGAAGAATTATGTTATATAGAATATAATAGCGGCTTATAACTTTAATATAAAGGTTTAGTACGTACTTATTAGATACAAAGGAGCTAGAAACGACGGTTAGATACTATAGAAGGTATACTAGAAGGGATTTAACGTACCTACTAGCAAGTTCTATCTAGTAGATAGTAGCTATTCCTTTAAGGAGAAGCGGCTTCTCGTACTACTAATATAAAAGGATAAGGTATTACTTTCGAGAATAGGCGGCTACTAGATATAGGCGGGATAATAAGAAAGACTAAGCTATATAGCCTTTAGTATACTTAGCTTCGTAACGTTATAGAGCGGCTATTTAGATTAATATAGAAGCGCTTCGAGATTGTCTATATCGGTACTTATAAGAAGTATTCTATCCGCTTATAGTCGAGGTTTATTATATTCTAATTTATAGTCTATAACTTTATCTTTTATTATAGTAAACAATCGCTTCGTACGGAGCTACTAGCTATACTAGATCTACTAGTCGAGGAAGGTCTAGACGAGGATAAAGAGCCGGTCGTTATAGTAGACAACGAGGATCTATATTAGCTATTTTAAGAGATATTTATATAGGGAATATATAATAATTATAAGTAGTACTTAGAAGATAGTACTATTATAGTAGAATAGATAAGCGAGAAGTCTAGAATCTAGAGTCTTAGGCGCAGGAGACTAGTAATATTAATATAATAGTATAGAAAATAGGATTAATTAGATTATATAAGGAATTTAGTAAGGACCGCTATTTCTATATTCTAACTGTTATATTCTAGCTATTGCTCGCTCTTCTTTAATATTTAGTATACCTCTAATTACTAGGCTCTAAGTACTACTAATATCTTTTCTTTATATATAAAAGGCTCTATACGTTACCGCGATCCGTTAGCAAAAACTAATAATACCTCTATATAGATTAATCGTATAGATAATAGCGTATATTTTAAATAAAAAAGTAATTCTAATTATTAAACTCCTCGACCTTCTATAGTATATTAGTACTTTAGAAACAACCTTCCTACGTAATAAAAACCTCTCTCTATATTATAATAGTATAGCTAGCTACTAACAACTATATCTATACGATAGAGAGTTGTTCTATATATACGAATAGTTAGGATATACGTAGCTATTAGTACTAGGTAACGGCTAGGGTCTAGTTTTAATATCCTATAGTACCTAGCGGATATAATAGCGATATATCCTATATTAGGCTTACCTATCTCTATTATAAGGAGGGTACAGTCCGCTATACTAATATCTACTAGAATATCCTTCTCTATAGGACAATTAGCGACATTTCCGATACGAATATCGATACTATACCCTACGCGTTTCTTTAGCGCTTTAGCCTTTTTACTACGTACTCTCTTAGGCTTAATAGTAGTATCCCTATAAGCCTACTAAGCGTCGTCTCGAGTAGCCTTAAGGAAGGCTAATAATGTCTATTATAGTAGAATCTAGCTCTTCTTTATAAGACTAAGTATAGTATTATTATCCTTCTTATCCTTCTTCTTAGCGTCTAATCTAGCCTACTTCTTAGTAGCCTCTCGCTTCGTAGTATATACCTTTACGTAACGCGTAGTAACGAGTACTTATACTTCTAATTCTAATAATATTAATAGGTCTAATCCGCTATTAACGTCGGCTATATATAGGGCAGAAGCCGAGGAGGCTTAGCGCTAGGTTACGGTACGTAGCCGACCTTTACTTATAAGTATACCTAAGATCTACGCTCGTCGCTAAGTAAGCGTAGATACTTCTAATCTTTTATAACTATATAATACTAGTAAACGGGCGCGCTAGTATAGTAGTTTAATATAGTATTCGCGCTTCTAGTCTATAGATTAAGATCGCGCGTTCGATTCTCGGCGTACGCTTCTTAGCTAACTAGGCTAATCCTCGGTAGACGCGGCTTTAGAGGTACCTAATTTAAAATTGCCTTCGGCCCTTAGGCGCGTAACTCGGCTATACGAGTACCTACCCTAGAGAGGTTAGCTTATAGGCTTTATTTATTTGTCTTAGATTAGTAAGATTATAAAGTTATTTAATTAGCTCGGCTATACGTTCGGGTATAGGGTATTAGATTTAAATTATTTAATTAGATAACTAGTTATACGTTCGTCTATAGGCTACGGATATTAGATTATAACGTTATTTTTATTAGCTACTCGGCTATATATATAGGTACGGGGTATACTAAGGCTAACTAGTTAACTAGCTATAGGGCTATAGCTAAGAAGAGGGAAGTATATATAAGGCGGAAGCCGAAGAGGCTTAGCGCTAAGTACGTAGCCGGCCTTTGCCTATAAGTACGCCCGAGATCTATACTAAGTAAGCGTAGATACTTCCGATCTTTTATCGCTATATAATACTAGAAAACGGGCGCGCTAGTATAGTAGTCTAATACTATAATTAACTCGTCTTATTCCCTAGCGGTTATTCCTTCTAGAAGTAGTACTTTAGTAGTTACTTCGCCTTTTTCTATCTCTTTATTTTTATCCCTACTATCGTCTTTCTCGTCTAACCTACTAATATCTATATTACTATCTTACGTAAGACTATTACTAACCCCCGCCTTGCTACCGCTTGCTATATTTAGCTTAATAATATTAGAGAGCTAGGTTACAAACTCTAGATACTCGTTACGCTATTATTTATACTCTAGATACCTTTAGAAGTGCTCGTTAGTAACCTCCTTATTACTAGGCTTTAGGGGATATCTATTCTAGCCGCCTATATACTTTAAGTAAGCGGTATATAGATAGTACTTCTTTTTAAAGGTCCGCGAGCGCGCCCTATAGCCTTCTTCCTTAAAATATAACCTAAACTTTAAGCTTATCTATATAGTAATATAGCGGTAGTATCTAGTATAGAAGCTATTACTATAGTTTATTAACCCCTTATCCTTTAGCTTCTTTACCTACTTTAAGAAGTATTCCTTAATCCTTATAGACTGCCTTCTATTAAATAATCTCTAGAAACTCGAAGCTAGCTATAGGCCTAGTACTTAGCTTAGACTTCTTACTAGCTAGTATATTCTTAGTAGTATTTTTACGCTTCGTAAGAGTCGTAGAATTAGTCGTTTTAGCCTTCTTCGGCGCTATATTTAGTAGATACTATATTAATAGTAATATATAGATATAGTAGCCCTACTAGAATTAGACCCCGCAGTAGTTCGGGTTGGTTTAGTTTGGTTTGCCAAGCCGAAACTCTAGTTTGGTTTGGGTTGGTTTGCTAAGTAACTATATAAGTAGCTGGTTCGAACTATATAATTTATCGGTTTTTAAGAAGTGTACGAATGTATACGTAGCTTTAAGCAAGCCCTTTGTAAGACTTAGTAGTGTAGCCGGCAGCGTAGCCGGCATTTTTAGTCCTTAGTACTTATAGAATTTTCGAATCCTACTTAGGCTACGTAGTTGTATAAAGGTACTTATATAACCTCAAATCTATAGACAATTAGCTAAGGGCACTAACTAATCAAAAGTATATATATATATACATATATAAGGCATTATAGTTCAGTTCGGAAACTGTACTCCTTAGGTATAAATTTCATCCTTTCGTTTACAGTTCAATTCCCTAACTGCTTAGTAGAATGTCTTTATCTAGATCTAGGCAGAACTTATCGATTTCCCTAGAAGTCCTCCTCCTTAAGAAGTTTATACACTTTCCTACTAAACTATTCGACAATATTAAGTACTAGGATAGCTCCTCCCTCGGTATCGGTATAGTATATAAAAGAGCTATAAGGCAGCTCTATAGAACGTTCTACTAGTTACTCGCTATACTAAGGCCGAATACTAGTTCGTTCCTTAGAACTCTTAGTTATTTAGGAGATATAAAGGGTAGGGCAGGTAGTGACTTCGTATTGTATAAGGAGGTAGAGGCTGCTATAGAAGAGGCCTTTAACCTATAGAAGATAGTAAAAGATATAGAGGCAGCTACAGGTCTAGGTACCTAGTTGAATTTTTAGTAGGTAGAGTATAAGGATATTTAGAGGGAGTATTAGGTAGAGTTGCGAAGGCAGGTGTATAATATACTCTAGAAAACAGGGATAGTGCCTATAACTATAACTATTAGGCTCTTCAACCTTCCTTATTTTTCCCTATTTTCTTTTTATAAAAATCTAAACTAATACAAATCAACCGGAATGTCTATCTTCTTTTAGTTCTTTAAAAAACCTAGTAGCGTAGCTAGTAGCGTAGCCGGCAGCGTAGCCGGCAGCGTAGCCGGCCTTTTTACTCCTTAGTACTAACGGGATTTTGGGAGACTTCTATTCCGTACGGCTAATAAAGTATACTATACTATATATATATACTTAGAGAGTATTTAGAGCGCGGTATAC